TTCCTGCTTGATGATCAGGAATGTGTGACACAATTCTTATGGCCAATATACGTAATTTGGAGACATTTCCAGCGGGATAATGTCAAAAATATTTTGCTTTTTCATCCTTTGAAAATTCTTTACAGAAATTTTTGTAGGAAATCCACAATTTTAGCATGTGACAGATGCAATTGGGTCTATCAAGGAGCTTTGTAACATTTATCTATACTGTAAAACTTCATTTATGTTACTTAGAATCTTATTAAACACATTGATTTCTTTTACATCTGATTCATGGGAATGAAAATAACAATCACAAGGCATACTTCGAGTAAAACTTTATTGAAATGTGAGAGATTTCATTTAATTTGATGACAAATTTATATTAGTATGTTATGAAAATAACATTAAATCCAATTATATAATTAATAATCATCAAATTGTTAAGAAATATTTTTAATTTCTGAAATAATAATGAAATTAATTAAGATATGTCAGGCAAATTTATATAAAAGATTTAAAGCGATATAGTTTCTATCGATATCTCACCATTACATACATGTAAAATACTTAAATAGATGATAGATTTTACAATAATAGTATTGTAAATGTTTAAATAACTGTAGATAAATTTAGGAATTGCTTCTCTACTTGTGTACTCATTAATCGCATATTATTTCTCTTAATGAATGACATATACTTTTGAATTAGCATAATGTATTAATAAAACTCAATGACTTCATTAATATATCAAGATTAATTTGTTTTTTAAACATTGAGCTCAAGTTCTTTTATACATTCTTTATGACATATACAAAACATTGTTATAAAAATATATAAAAAAATTTGTTGTTATAAAAATATATAAAAAGATTCATTTTATGCTTATAAATTTTTAAGCAAGCTGAATTTTTTATAAAATAGTTACAGAAAATAATGAATAAAATTTTAAAAAATATAGAAAGTATTTGCATTACAATTATTATTTATTTGAATATATGTACAAGTTGAATATATGTACATATATTTATGTGAATATATGTACATAATTTTTTTATTATCATTATGAGAATATAAACCTAGAGAATAATAGTGTTTAGAACAAAAGGAGTATAATAATCATAATGATTGAAAAATATATGAGAAAAGCAACATTAAATCAGTTAAAAAAATAATTCTGATAGTTATTAATATATAAAACATTAAGAAAAAGGGGTTATTTAAAGATATTGAGGTTATATAACAGTGATTAAAAAAAACAATATTAGTTTTAATGTAAACAATTATATGATAATATAAATAATTAACACTAATTTTATTTTAGAGAATGGTACAAAATTGTATTATAATTTTATTTGATAAAGATTTGACTATTTATTTAGAATGAAAAATGTTTATATGAAGAATGTTTGAATAGTATAAAAGAAAAAAATAACGCTTGGATTCTTTATAGATCTTATTTTAATGTTTCATTTTCCAAAAAATATGTGTTTTATAAAATATCTTAACTTTGTAGTACAATATATTTATTAAAATGTTTAACAAGAATTATTATAAAAAATTATATAAGTAATTTGAAGATATTTTTATCAGCTAAATATAATTTTAATAATTTATAATGTCAGCAATGTTAGAGTCCAAAATATAGATTATTTTAATATTTAATCGCATCATATTTAATACATCATTATCTGAGGTACAATACCTTCAATAAAAATATAGTATACTTGTTATTACTGATGCTTGTTACAAAAATAGAGTAAGCAACCTAGAATTAAGTAGATACACAAACAAAAATTTGTACTGACAACAGAATTTTACTTTGCTCTCAGTTATAATATTTTTTTCCAATATACTTGTGGCGAGAATTTTAATTTTGATCATTATATTTACTGCTTACAAATTTGCAGAAAGATAAAATATATAATACAAATTAATGTATAACATCTAATTTGCTATAAATTAAATAATATAATAAACTCCCATATTATTAGATGCACATATGTTTCTGTATGCATTTACATATCTTTATCAAGCACTGGAAATTGTGTGAGATATGTAATTGTTGAAATTTTTAATAAACATACAATGTGTTTCATTGATCTTTATTATTTAGTGCCCAAACCTTTATGGAGTATCTCCAAACGATTCCTTTCATGCGATTAACATTATAAGCAATTGAATACGATAAATTAATGTGAACGTACCAATCTGGAAAAAAATCTGCGTTTAATCTAGCAAGTATCAAATATGGTCGAACAAGAGATTTCACTTTTAAATAGTCTTCTTAAATTTAATACAATGAATGTATTAAACATTTCGATTTATATTGTATTTTCTTTTTTAGTCTTTATTGGTTTTTATTTAGGCCAAAATAATTTTACAAATGTACGACAACACAATAGTTTAATAAAGTTTCTTAGATTAATGTTTTCCTCTGCTACGAAGATAAAATGGCGGACGATGGTCACAAAATGGAGAACATTGGTTACAAAATGGAGGTTGAATCGTGTTGATGATGAATTCTGCATGCGCGCTGATTGAAAGAAAGAAGAGATGTGCAAAAGTTTTACCGCTCTCTTTGACTGCAAATTACCTTGCCGTTCGTTATCAATTGTATTATATTCATTTAGAATAAAAAAAGAAAAACCTCTTAATGAGAATAATAATGCTGACCGCGTTTTCCTGCGATAAACCTTGGGGATTAAAACGAACTATTCCAAACAACACAAGCGACGAGTGATATTTTGCGTAGAAATAAAATCGAAATTACATGTGGTCTCGACATGATTGACTTCCAGAAAACATTTGAATCCGAATCTGGTAAGGAATCCGGGTCTGATTCTGAGAATGAGAGCAAAAGTGATAGCTCTTCTTCCGGCAGTAACAGCGGATCAGGATCTGGATCTGAAAGGTGGGTATAGACAAGAATTTAGCCTATCTCCCTGAAAATTTTGAGATCCGATATACAAATTTGTATCGGTGAGATTTTATATTTTCCCCGCACAAGAAATATTTAACTTTGTTTTTTGGAAAATTGCCATTTAAATATCCAATTTTATTAATGTTTTTCAGAATGTAATCGTTCCTTCTTTAAAAATTCTATAAAATTGATAAGGTTCATTAATTATTAATTATTATTAATTATTTTTTCAAATAAGTTTGCTTAATCTTTTATAGAATGCATCTGTAGCGTGTAATATATTACGAATACGAGACAAATTGAACTGAATACAAGTGTATATTGGGTTCTCTGATGTGTAAGGGTTTATCACAATCAATGCCACTTGCAAGTGGACTACTTGTGCGCATCACTATAGCTTCATATAGCACTAACAATGTTTTTAACAATTTTGCTAACTTGTATACTATTTTGAAATTTTGTGAGCACACCTTTTATACAATATTGAAACATTTGCTCCCTTCCTATTCAGAATCAATACAATGCTAGATAAGCTATAATATGAGTCTGTAGTCTAGCGTTAATCAATGTACTTTCAAGTAATCAATATATACAAATCTTGATACAAAATCATAGAATTATAAGAGAACGTTCACACGTTTAAATAGTTTATTTTCATATTAATGTTTTATTTATATATTTATTAATTTTGCATAAACATTTTTAATCTTAGTATAATTAA